ATGGATACAAGTGCTAAAAGATGTGATCACTTGAGGACATAGTACCTCATGAGCAATGGATACAAGTGCTAAAAGATGTGATCACTTGAGGACATAGTACCTAGTACCTCATGAGCAATGGATACAAGTGCTAAAAGATGTGATCACTTGAGGACATAGTACCTCATGAGCAATGGATACAAGGACATGTACCTCATGAAAAGATGTGATCACTTGAGGACATAGTACCTCATGAGCAATGGATACAAGTGCTAAAAGATGTGATCACTTGAGGACATAGTACCTCATGAGCAATGGATACAAGTGCTAAAAGATGTGATCACTTGAGGACATAGTACCTCATGAGCAATGGATACAAGTGCTAAAAGATGTGATCACTTGAGGACATAGTACCTCATGAGCAATGGATACAAGTGCTAAAAGATGTGATCACTTGAGGACATAGTACCTCATGAGCAATGGATACAAGTGCTAGGAAAGATGTGATCACTTGAGGACATAGTACCTCATGAGCAATGGATACAAGTGCTAAAAGATGTGATCACTTGAGGACATAGTACCTCATGAGCAATGGATACAAGTGCTAAAAGATGTGATCACTTGAGGACATAGTACCTCATGAGCAATGGATACAAGTGCTAAAAGATGTGATCACTTGAGGACATAGTACCCTCATGAGCAATGGACATAGTGCTAAAAGCATGTGATCACTTCATGAGCAATGGATACAAGTGCTAAAAAGATGTGATCACTTGAGGACATAGTACCTCATGAGCAATGGATACAAGTGCTAAAAGATGTGATCACTTGAGGACATAGTACCTCATGAGCAATGGATACAAGTGCTAAAAGATGTGATCACTTGAGGACATAGTACCTCATGAGCAATGGATACAAGTGCTAAAAGATGTGATCACTTGAGGACATAGTACCTCATGAGCAATGGATACAAGTGCTAAAAGATGTGATCACTTGAGGACATAGTACCTCATGAGCAATGGATACAAGTGCTAAAAGATGTGATCACTTGAGGACATAGAACCTGGTGAGCAATGGATACAAGTGCTAAAAGATGTGATCACTTGAGGACATAGTACCTGGTGAGCAATGGATACAAGTGCTAAAAGATGTGATCACTTGAGGACATAGGACCCTCACCTGAGCAATGGATACAAGTGCTTAAAAGATGTGATCACTTGAGGACATAGTACCTGATCACTTGAGCAATGGATACAAGTGCTTAAAGATGTGATCACTTGAGGACATAGTACCTCATGAGCAATGGATACAAGTGCTAAAAAGATGTGATCACTTGAGGACATAGTACCTCAATGAGCAATGGATACAAGTGCTAAAAGATGTGATCACTTGAGGACATAGTACCTCATGAGCAATGGATACAAGTGCTAAAAGATGTGATCACTTGAGGACATAGTACCTCATGAGCAATGGATACAAGTGCTAAAAGATGTGATCACTTGAGGACATAGTACCTCATGAGCAATGGATACAAGTGCTAAAAGATGTGATCACTTGAGGACATAGTACCTCATGAGCAATGGATACAAGTGCTTAAAGATGTGATCACTTGAGGACATACATAGTACCTCATGAGCAATGGATACAAGTGCGTAAAGATGTGATCACTTGAGGATAGTACCTCATGAGCAATGGATACAAGTGCTTAAAGACGTGATCACTTGAGGACACAGAACCTGGTGAGCAATGGATACAAGTGCTAAAAGATGTGATCACTTGAGGACATAGAACCTGGTGAGCAATGGATACAAGTGCTAAAAGATTGCTGTACGACCTTTTATATTTGCATCTGACTAGATAGAAAATACAGTACAGACAACAAAGTCTGGCCACTGTAGAGGCTAAAGTGCAGGACTTGATTTTCAAGAATTCTCTAGAGGGGGAGGCTGTCATTAGAGTCAACAACACAGACTTCCGATTTAGAAATAGAAATGGAAGCGCCTATTTAAACACACTTGTTTAACAGAAGAGCCCGAATACAGATAGACAAACTCAAGAGTAAGAAAGTTTTGCTGCGCCATGGTGTTCCACAAGGTGGTGTCCTGTCCCCCACACTCTTTCAAGTCTTTATCAAATTCCTGATTTCTAAACTGCCCCATGGAATTAAAGTTGCAATGTATGCTGATGACTTGGTACCATGGTGTACAAATGAATATGCAACTGTGGCCACTAGGCTGCTACAAAGAGCCATAGATGCAACGGCTTCATGAGCTGATAAATGGTGTGTCAGCATCAACACAAGTAAATGTAGCACCACCCTCTCTCCAAAACAAAAATCAATCGTTATTCACATCAATGGAGTGCCTCTGTGAGAGGATGAGGAGCGCACATACCTCAAAGTCATGACTGATGTTATGTTATCAAGGAAAAAACACATCAACAAGGCAGCAACAAAAGCCAGAAGGAGGGTAGCTATCCTGAGAAAACTAAATGACCAACAAATTCGCAACAACAATTTTAAAAAAAAAACAGTGAGAATACTCGAGGAAGTGGTATTAAAATATAATTATTTAAGAAATGAAAACTTTAAAATAATGTATTTAGCTCTCTCAGCTAAGTGTCTGTCAACCCACCCCCCCCCCCCCCCCCCCCCCCCCCCCCCCCCCCCACCTCCCTGTCCGAAAGATTGGAAAATATTAACATATAAATAGCTAAGAAATGAGAACTTTAAAATAATGTTGAAAGCTCTCACAGTTTACAGTGCCTGTCATTAATAAACACAAGAAATAAAGAAAGGGTTAGTGATATATAATTAAAAACAAAACAAAATAAACAGCAGCTGAAGTTGAAACTATCACTGTGAAATGTACTTTGGTCAGGGCTCTTACAGTGACAGATAAACAGCCTTACCATCCATCTGCACCAATATCTCAGATTTGACCCTGCGACTAGCCTCATGTTCTGATCCGGACGCTCGCTGAGAGCCCATGGAGTCGATCTCGTCAATAAACACTGTACTGGGTGCATAGAATCGGGCCTGAATATAAATATTTTCAAAAAGGTTTTGTCATTTCTTTTGCAAATGTCTCTTGGACAATTCATGCAGCTGAACTTCATGTATTATTTACATAAAACACCACCTGCCATCACTTGTATGACAGACCACCAGACACCACCTGTAATGACTTGTATGACAGACCACCAGACACCACCAGTCATGACTTGTATGACAGATCACCAAAAACCACCTGTCATCACTTGTATGACAGACCACCAGACACCACCTGTCATCACTTGTATGACAGACCACCAGACACCACCTGCTATCACTTGTATGACAGACCACCAGACATCACCTGCCATTACTTGTATGAAAGACCACCAAACACCACCTGCCATTACTTGTATGACAGACCACCAAACACCACCTGCCATTACTTGTATGACAGACCACCAAACACCACCTGCCATTACTTGTATGACAGACCACAAAACACCACCTGCCATTACTTGTATGACAGACCACCAGACACCACCTGCCATCACTTGTATGACAGACCACCAGACACCACCTGCCATCACTTGTATGACAGACCACCAGACACCACCTGCCATTACTTGTATGACAGACTACCAGACACCACCTGCCATCACTTGTATGATAGACTACCAGACACCACCTGCCATTACTTGTATGACAGACTACCAGACACCACCTGCCATCACTTGTATGACAGACCACCAGACACCACCTGCTATCACTTGTATGACAGACCACCAAACACCACCAGCCATTACTTGTATGACAGACCACCAAACACATGTAATATCACACAACAGCCAAATATCACAAAGTAATAAGTAATATCCCACAGCAGCCTCACATCACACAACAGTCACATTTGATATCACACAGCAGTTACATGCGATATTACACAGCAGTCAAAAGTGACATCATCACACAACAGTCACATGTGATATTACACAGCAGCCACACATCACACAAGTCACATATGATATCACACAGCAGTCACATGCGATATCATACAGCAGTCACATGTGATATCACACAACAGTCACATGTGATATTCACACAGCAGCCACAGATTTCACATGTGATATCAAACAGCAGCCACACATCACACAATAGTCACATGTGATATCACACAGCTACCACACATCACACAACCGTCACATGTGATATCACACAAGTCACATGTGATATCACACAACAGTCACGTGTGATATCACACAAGTCACATGTGATATCACACAACAGTCATGTGTGATATCACAAAGCAGCCACACATCAGACACGTCACCTGATATCACACAGCAGCCACAAATCACACAACAGTCACGTGTGATATCACACAGCAGCCACACATCATACAACAGTCACATGTGATATCACACAACAGTCACATATCACACAGCAGTCATATCTGATATCCCACAGCAACATCATGCAATATCATAATAGGTGATATCACACAGCAGCCACACATCACACAAGTGACATATGATATCAAACAGCAGCCACACATCACACAAGTCACATATGATATCACACAACAGTCACATGTGATATCACACAGCAGCCACACATCACACAAGTGACATATGATATCACACAGCAGTCACATGTGATATCACACAGCAGCCACACATCACACAAGTGACATATGATATCATAGCAGCCACACATCACACAAGTGACATATGATATCACACAACAGTCACATGTGATATCACACAGCAGCCACACATCACACAAGTGACATATGATATCACACAACAGTCACATGTGATATCACACAGCAGCCACACATCACACAAGTCACATATGATATCACACAGCAGCCACACATCACACAAGTGACATATGATATCACACAACAGTCACATGTGATATCACACAGCAACCCCATGCAATATCATATGTGATATCCCACAGCAACCGTACATCACTGAAACCTTCAAAAAGCACCCGACAGCAATCTCTTGCAATCTTGGTGTACCATTTCAAAGAGCAGCCGGACCAGTTTCTCGGACTCGCCATGCCACTTTGAGGTCAGACTGGAGGCAGAGACATTAAAGAAGGTGGTGCCACACTCTGTTGCCACAGCCTTGGCCAGCAATGTCTTGCCTGTGCCTGGGGGTCCGAACATCAACACTCCCTGTGGATGGAGGACCAAGTGAGTTAGATAAGACTGTCACAACAAGAACTGATGTAATATCAAGTGACACGACTACATCAGCACCTCAACACAATCGTACGGTAATCTTTCATCAAAGTCCTCACAGCAGCCACACTGTCAAGTCAGTAAGCATCTACAGACATACTGTCAAGTCAGTAAGCATCTACAGACATACTGTCAAGTCATGGAGCATCTACAGATATACTGTCAAGTCATGGAGCATCTACAGACATACTATCAAGTCAGGGAGCATCTACAGACATACTGTCAAGTCAGGGAGCATCTACAGACATACTATCAAGTCAGTGAGCATCTACAGACATACTGTCAAGTCAGGGAGCATCTACAGACATACTGTCAAGTCAGGGAGCATCTACAGACATACTGTCAAGTCAGGGAGCATCTACAGACATACTGTCAAGTCAGGGAGCATCTACAGACATACTGTCAAGTCAGGGAGCATCTACAGACATACTGTCAAGTCAGGGAGCATCTACAGACATACTATCAAGTCATGGAGCATCTACAGACATACTGTCAAGTCAGGGAGCATCTACAGACATACTGTCAAGTCAGTAAGCATCTACAGACATACTATCAAGTCATGGAGCATCTACAGACATACTATCAAGTCAGGGAGCATCTACAGACATACTGTCAAGTCAGGGAGCATCTACAGACATACTGTCAAGTCAGGGAGCATCTACAGACATACTGTCAAGTCAGGGAGCATCTACAGACATACTGTCAAATCAGGGAGCATCTACAGACATACTGTCAAGTCATGGAGCATCTACAGACATACTATCAAGTCAGGGAGCATCTACAGACATACTGTCAAGTCAGGGAGCATCTACAGACATACTGTCAAGTCAGTAAGCATCTACAGACATACTATCAAGTGACCTGGAGCATTACAGACATTACTATCAAGTCAGGGAGCATCTACAGACATACTGTCAAGTCAGGGAGCATCTACAGACATACTATCAAGTCATGGAGCATCTACAGACATACTATCAAGTCAGGGAGCATCTACAGACATACTGTCAAGTCAGGGAGCATCTACAGACATACTGTCAAGTCAGGGAGCATCTACAGACATACTGTCAAGTCAGGGAGCATCTACAGACATACTATCAAGTCAGTGAGCATCTACAGACATACTGTCAAGTCAGGGAGCATCTACAGACATACTGTCAAGTCAGGGAGCATCTACAGACATACTGTCAAGTCAGGGAGCATCTACAGACATACTGTCAAGTCAGTAAGCATCTACAGACATACTATCAAGTCCTGGAGCATCTACAGACATACTATCAAGTCAGGGAGCATCTACAGACATACTGTCAAGTCAGGGAGCATCTACAGACATACTATCAAGTCATGGAGCATCTACAGACATACTATCAAGTCAGGGAGCATCTACAGACATACTGTCAAGTCAGGGAGCATCTACAGACATACTGTCAAGTCAGGGAGCATCTACAGACATACTGTCAAGTCAGGGAGCATCTACAGACATACTATCAAGTCAGGGAGCATCTACAGACATACTGTCAAGTCAGGGAGCATCTACAGACATACTGTCAAGTCAGGGAGCATCTACAGACATACTGTCAAGTCAGGGAGCATCTACAGACATACTATCAAGTCAGGGAGCATCTACAGACATACTGTCAAGTCAGGGAGCATCTACAGACATACTATCAAGTCAGGGAGCATCTACAGACATACTGTCAAGTCAGGGAGCATCTACAGACATACTATCAAGTCAGGGAGCATCTACAGACATACAATAAGGTTAGGGAACATCTGTGATGAAACGACCTAAGTGTTTTCAGAAGTTAGTATGTGTAATAATTTCTTCCGGTTATAGAGAGACAGAGAATTATATTTACTATGCCCTTAGCCGGAATATTACTAAATTGTTAAAAATGTTTCCCGTCCTTAGCTCAGACAAAGCAACTGAGCTTTGGTTAACATTACCTAATATAGCCAGCTGGTCTACCTGGGAAAGTTCAGACAGAGTGGCTGTAGGGTTTGATTGTAGAACTGAAGTGTCATGTAATTATCTCCCGACCAGAGACCCTTAGGGGCAAGCAACTCAGTCATAAAACTAATTCTATAACCTGCTCCACGTGTTCGTGTAAAAACAATGTCAGCCAGTTTGGAAGTCTGAGTAAAGACGGACAGCAGACTTAGGAAGTCAACTATCATGACAGTACATGAGAGGGAAGGCAGGATATGTGACGTCAGTGTGAGACATAAGACCTTCAGACTAGACTGGAGAGAATGTGGAAGATGAGGAGGAGAGATGTTACATATATATACAATATATATATTGTATAGATACTACACATATGTGTTTGTATCACAGCTCCCGTCGGGGTGAAGACCAGTCTGCTCTAACAGCAAAACCAGAGGGCCACGTGCACAAACTTACATTGTGGGAGATCGGCAAGCTGGAAACAGGCTGAGAAGGAGGTGGAACAAGCTGGGAACGAACGAACGAACGAACAAACAAACTTAATTTTCAAAGGGTTGAGAATTGGGCACACAGGCCCGTCTTACATTCTGCCCTTCTGGCCTCACGCCATGCATACATTATTCATGCACACATTCTTTTAGCAGATAATAATAGTATTCATAAGCATCATTAACAACATGTTTGTAACAATGTACTCTAAGTATGCCCACATTTTAAAACAAGTATAATACTAAATGTAATAAATCTTGGTGGAAATCAACAATATTCTCATGAAACTATTTTCTTCTAAGGGGGCATGTAGTCTGAAGTGAGATAATATTCAAAAAGCTTCCAATTGTATTTATAGGGGTTGTTGATATTTTTGATTGGTTGTGGAAGATGGTTCCACAGATGAGCTGCAGAGTAGAGTACGCCAAGCTTGTTTTGTACAAGTCTATTCTAGGTTTAGGGATGTGTAATATATTTAGGCGTTTGCTATGACGGCCATTATACTTAAAGAATGGCAAAAGGTAATCGGGAGCATTTTTGGAAAAGATTTTGTGAATGACTTTCGCCTTATTGAAAAGTAGTCGTTTATGGAAGGGGAGTAACTTAAGATCTTTATGTATACTGGAAATGTCTCTTCCATGATTATTACTGACTAAGCGTACAGCTCTTATTTGAAGTGCTTTAAGCCGTTTCATGACTGAACTTGGACAGCCATCCCATATTGTGGAGCAGTAGTCTAGATGGGTCTGAATATGGGAGGTGTAAAATATCCGTCTGGTGTTTTCATCCAGAAAGTGTTTAATTTTTGCAAGCTGGTATACTTTTTTAGCTGTTTGTTTCACTAGAGCTTGCACATGAGAAGTAAAGGTTAAATTTCTATCAATAATTACGCCTAAAGCTTTGTGCTCAGTTACACATTCTACTGGGTTGTTACTGATGTAGAGCTGAAGCGTATTATGTGCAGATAAAGAATATAGTTTTTGTCTTGTTGATATTAACATGCATTTTGTTTTACTAATGTTTATTTGCATGCGGTTTGCATTGCTCCAGGAAACCACATTGTTTAATTCCTATTGTAAAGATGACTCTAAAATATCACACGTTTGAGCACTTGTATAGACTGTACAGTCATCTGCAAATAAGTCACACGGCGACGACAGACACAAAGGAAGATCATTTATATAAATGGCAAATAACAGAGGGCCAAGAATCTGAGTCTGTCTCGACTAAGCTATCGGAGTCGGCTGCGTTTGGGTCATTAGCAGCCCGTGTTCGCACTTAGCCAACGACAACTATCAGCAACAAAGATCTACACCAGTGACCAGTGTATCCAAGAATCACCAGAGGAAGGAACAACGCCCTAGGTAATTATAATCTACATTATAAACTTTTTTTTAAACCGAAACCTAGGGCGTGCGTTTAACCTCTAAATAAATTCGAGAACTTTTACAATTACCGTTGAAAATGGTAACTGTGCCCATAACGACTGAAACACCAGGATCACCAGCACAGAGGGCCGCTCCCCCGGGAGCCGACCTTTCAGGGGCGCCTGATGCCGCCTCGGTAGCGACGCAAGGACCCCCTCGCCTACGAAAGCAGCGGCAGCCTGAGACCAGCACACCAGACATCATGCAGTGCCCGCGCTGCAATAGGGCGTGGCATACAGCCTCGTCCTGCCGCAGCAGCCTATCGTGCAGATACTGTTCTGGTGCACACTAATTTTAAAAAACCCAACAGCAACCGCAAGTGCTCCAACTGTTCCGGTGCGCACGGCGCAAGATTCATGGGCTGCCCGTATCTCCAGCAGTGCAAGAGGACACTAAGAACCGCCCACGAAGCAGCTAGACAGAGATACGTGGCACCCAGGTCTCAGCAGCACCAAAGCAACCAAGTGGGAAGCCAGCACAACGGACATCAGACCGACGAACCGACAAGGCGATCACAGCCGCAAAGGACCCTGAAATCTCGCTACAAATTTCTGAAATTTTAGCTGAAATCAGAGCTCTCCGCAGAGAAAAGTCTGACGCTACCAACACCGACGCTGACAGAACGCAGTTGCTAGACCTGATTTCCCAGATGCGTGACGAAATCAAAGCCTTGAAAGACGACAGACAAGAACAAGTCTCGCAGCAAACAAAATGGCTAGCAGAGGCTACACAAATGCAGAAAAACCTGACAGAAATTACCCTAAAATTGCAAGCAGAAAAAGCTGCAGACGAGACCCGCCGACAAGAAGAAAGGGAGGAGAGAAGAAAGGAAACCGAAGCACTCAAGGAAGCCCGAGAAAGCACTTATAAAGAAGTCGCCCTCATGATCCAAGCAAAGGCAGGAGCCGAAGCTGCAGTGCTGGCAGCAAGAACGGAGCGTGCCCTGCTAGAGAAAGAAAGAGAGGCTTCCAGGAAAGCTGTAAAGCAACCAATTATCAAAAAAGCCGACAAAAGCACAGTTACCGAAACGGTAATGATGCAGCACCAAGAACAGATGACAGACCCTACTAGAA